CCCCCCCCCCCAAGCAAAACCCCAAACATTTTTTTCTTTTATATGATTAGTGCTAGAGCTATTAGGCTGTGATTTTCAAAAGTTCTTTAGACAACAGTGAGAATTTAGCAGGACACTTACACTTTGTGTAAAGTTTTCTTCTTGAGTCATTGTCTTTAAACAGAGAATTGAGCTGAATAGTTCAGTTGTGGAGCTTTTCTTTCTGATAAGAAGGTGGAAATAGTTAACACACCAAGGCAGAAAAATATGGATCCATAATGCCATGCTGGACTTCGAATGTGCTTTTAAAAAATTAAATGTAGATGAAGCCTGTCATTTACAGCAGCTTAACTCAGCTTTCTTACATTTATTTAATTTGATTAGCATTTACATCCTCACATTGCTACTCCCATTGCCATCATGTCAGAGAGACTATTCTAAATGTTAGAAGCCAGATGCTTTGATGCAGCGTGGTGAAGGAACTGTGTAGAATTGAAGGACATATCCAAATACCTCGTGAATATATTTTGCTACTGAAAATAGTTATAACATAAGCAATGTTTGCTTTGTTCTCTAAGTAAAAGCCATGTTGGCATGTATTAAATATATCAGGAAAATATTTTATTGGAAAAAACATTTCATATTCTGCCAACCTTCTTTTTCTTTTTTTTTTTTTTCCTAGAGGTCTATTTGCAGCATGTGATCTTTTTGTTTTTCTTCCAGGAAAACTACATGATTCTGAAGGACCTGTCATTTTCATGCAAATATAAAGTAACTGTTTTGCCTGCAAAATCTAAAGGTCGTTTTAAGGCTGAGAGTATTTTCTTTGTTACCCCACCTTGCTCTGCATTTAAAGAAAAAAACCACAAGCACATCAATTGTCCTACTGAAGGAGGTAAGGCATGATCTGGAGAAGTAACCAAATAGTTTCAAATGCATTTATAATTGCCAAAAAAAAGTCTTTAACAGCAATTCTAAAATGGGAAATGAAAGATTCAGAACAAATAAAAATAAGACTAATGCGTATGTGAAAAATCAACTAAAATACAGAGCAGTATAGATTTTGGCTACCATATTACTGTTTTGTCAATTAGGTGATAATTTTAATGGACTGTTTATAAACATATGATGACATTTGTTATTACACAATTTTTATTTTTGTAAGGAGAAATACAGTTTCCCAGTTATATTCATTATAATAACAGATGATAACTGCAAACATAATTATGCTGGCATGACCCATCTTTTGAATGTTTTGCTACAGATGGAAGCTGCTTTTTCAGTTTGTTTTTTGTTTAGGTTAATTCTTCTCTCAAATAACAAATAAAGACACTTGTATACCTTTTACAGTGTTGCCACGATGGTAGGTATAGCTAGAGGGTTATGGAAAATGGCAGAATGACGGAGACGTTGGTTGGTTGGTAAGGACCTCTGGGTCAGCTAGTCCAGCCGCCCGCTGGAAGCACTAGGTCAGGTCAGACATTGCTTTGCACAGCCAAGTCTGGAAACCTCTCTCTTCAGCTAGAGGGTTGCCCTCTCACTTTGAGACCCTACTGTCCCCAAGGGTACTCCTGTGCTTCATGGGTCACCTCAGAGTTCTGCTGGCCACCACTGCCGTTTCCTGACCACACCTTCTGACAGTTTCCAGCATTACAACCTTATTCCTGGGCAACTGCAACTCAGGCATATATTTCCCCTAATCAGAGTGCCTCTATTAACTTGTACTACAGTTTCAGAGCTTGAATTTTACTTTTTGCCTGCATCATGGAGTTCTGTGCTATCCTGTGGGTTTTCTTGTGGTCCCAAAATTGAAAACCAGAGCACAGGTATTCTGAAATGCAGAGGAGCAGCAGGAGGGTTGCCTTTACATGCCGTAGGATTTTCCTTTCTGTTGCCTGCAGCTGACAGGATTTGATTTGAATTTTAAATTTGGCATAAAATGACAACGGATTATAGCAAAGATAGGCTTTGGTTAACACTGAAAATGTGGTGTCAGAATGCTGGCAGGATCCTGGGTAACACCAGAAAGAGAGCTCTGTCTGACCTTGATGTGTGGAACTGAATGAACATTACTGAACATTGTGTCTCAAAGTTTAGCTTATCTTTTTGCTTTCCAAATTTATAGTGCCAGTTCTACCCAAAGTGTTGGCCAAACCCGAGAATCTCTCTGCGTCTTTCATTGTCCAGGAAGGTAACATCACTGGTCATTTTTCCTGGAAGATCTCTAAGGCAGACCTTCACCAGCCCATGACAGGGTTTCAGGTCACTTGGGCAGAAGTAACCACAGAAAGCCGGCAAAACAGCTTACCCAACAGCATCATTTCGCAGTCGCAGATACTGCCAGCAGTAAGTTGTTTGTTACTTTCCTTCGCTAGTGGCTTTGTGTGTGCGTGCGTGTGTGGCCCATTTTTAATGTTCAGCGGTGATGCAGATGTCACACATAGCGTTCTCTGGCTCTGCAGGCAAGTTGGAGCAGGAAGTGCTTAATTTTTCCTCCTTGCTGGAGAAACAAAGCAGAGCTACTCTTCTTGATGACACATCAAACACTTTAATGTTCACAATTGCCAAATTAGCAACCATTGTCTGAGAAATGCCTGAAGGGAGGAAAAGATCATCTGTGTAGCGTAGATAGTTTTTATTTTCTTTTGATGATCAGGCTGTTCAATTTGGCAGTTACTATAGTTTTACTAATTATTTGGTGTCCAAGTCGATGGATTTAAGAGAATTTTCTCTTCCTTTGAGTAACTCATTACTCTAAGAAAAATAAAAATCACTTTCCCCTCTGCCAATACACACCATTGTCCGACAGACAAATAATTTGAAGAACTAGATTTCACTGTTTATTGAAAGCATGAGAATTAACAATTTGAATTCTTCCCCCTATTTGCTTAAGATGGCCTTTGCTATTTCAGTTCCTCCTCTGGCAGAGGCAGGTGAAGAGCACTTCGTTCAGATTCTGTTGCCAGATCCGCCAAAGTCAACAAAAGGGTTTAAGCAGCTGGCCTTCATCCAAAGTCTCCTAACAACACTGGGAGTCGTTCCATTCAGTTCGGGGAAGTGGATCAAGGCGATTGTGTCTAGAGCAGAGCTGGCTGAAAAATCTTTTCACAAGATTCGTTTCATCAAAGAATGCATAAAATGTTTTGTTGGACACATCTTACATTCACTGTGTTTTCCACAAATCCAAGACAAGGTTCTCAGCATTCTGTCTTAATTCCTAGCAGACTGCCCTAAGGCTAGGGCACCCGTGTTTCAAAGCCTGTTGTTCTGGGGGAGAGCAACAAAGTTGACCGTGAATGTTCTAAAACTATGGGGCAAACTACCACACCGTGTGCGGAGCTGTTTTGTTACAGCTTAGCACAGACTTGGTGTAATTGCACCAATTCACTCAAAGCTCAACCCACAGTCCAGAGCCGAAGCACAGCGCAGGTACAGCCTTGATCTCTTCAGCAAGCCACGGTACAAGATTACCTGAAGTGGATACTCAGGCACGGACCTTTGGCTGCAAACAGCCACTTTAGCACAATGATAAGCAAAGTTACACACCGTAAAAAGTTTTCATCTTTTTTTATTTTTTTAGGAGCAGGCATATGTTTTATTCAGAATTTCTATTCCTTTTCTTAAGCTTTTGGTCCACTTCAGTCTGAAATATATATATAGTTTTGTTTAAAACACTCCTTTGCATTGTGTTATGCTTTAATTTTTTATCTCTGTTTTCCTCTGTTTTCACTACTGTAGAGCCTGGAGATTCTTTCTTTCTTTTTTTTTTTTTTTAAATTAACTATCACTATAAGTCCATCTCTGTCTATTTATGGCAACTGGTTAAGAAAACATTGGTTTGAGCTGAAACAGTATCTCCTACCTCTCAGAAACCACCAGAATATAGGGTATTTTACGGTGAGGATCATTCACTCATTCTTGTTGGTAGCCTCTAACTGATTAATATTTACACAACAGGGGCTGAAGCCCACAAGTCCCAACTGCTGGCGGAGCGCCTGAACGGGCAGAGTGAGTGTATGAGTGTGATGTATGCACACCTCTCTCTCCTACCCGTTCAGTATGTCGTACGAGGTAGAACAGCTTCAGCAAGGTCTATTAAAAGCGGCCCCATCTCACAATACGCACTAATTTGGCAGTAAAACTACACATTTCCCCCCACCTTTTCTCTCTCCCCTTTCCCCTTCGCTGTCTGCTCTGGCAGTAACAGCAAATTATCAGTTATTCCCACAGCCCGCTTAGGTCCCCCGGTGCGGCGCTGGGAGCAATGCCAACCAGAGGAACTTGCCCTGAAAATTCCTGGCTGGCCCAGCCCGGCTGGTCGCAGGAGCACACCATGCCCGTGATGTCTGGCGTCACTGCTCCGCTGTCCCCTCCCCGGCACTGGTCCTTTTCAGCTTGAAATAAGGTGAATCAGGACTTTTGATTCCTTAGTGCCCTTCAGTCTTTAGTCAGATGTTGTCCCATTTGGGAGCATTTATAAACTTACTCTGAAATTATTTTGCACAGGTGTAAGTGACCATGCAAGTTATGGAGCGCCAGAAATTGAGGCCATCGTGCCAAAAATGGGATTAAGAACTGAAGGGCAGATTCTCATCATGTAAAGGGAACAAATATGCTGAAATCTCTGTAGCCATACTTATTTCCGCTAGCTGCAGCAGGAGGCCAGATGAATTGCCATGAATTAATTTACCAATTAGTGGAATTCACAGACAGATCTAAAATAAAAGCAAGTTTATATAATGAACAAGTTTGTTAAAAAGAAAGATTAGGAAGTTAAAATTTTAAAATTAAAGATTTTCTTTTGTTTTTTAGTTATGAGCACATCATCCATTTTCAAGAACACTAAGGAACAACTTCGACCTCTTACACATGAAACCATAACTTTATGGTAAAAAAGTATGCTCAAAGGCAATGGCAAGAAAATTTTCAAAAGAAACCCTCTCAATAAAGTGATGCATATGTTAAATCCTTTTAACAGAATTCTAAGAAAATAATTTGTGAATGCTGAGAGTGACAGATCCCGTTTAAACCACTGCTATGTATGAATAGATCAACTGCGTTTTATTTTTAGATGCTCTGAGCATTAACATGATTTATTTATTTTTAGGATCATTATGTACTTACCGTGCCCAATCTAAGGCCGTCGATGCTGTACCGCTTGGAAGTTCAAGTGCTGACGACTGGTGGGGAAGGGCCAGCTACAATAAAATCGTTCCGAACACCTGACCTTCCTCCATTTTCACCCCACAGTAAGTAGTACTCCATTTTGACATGCGGTTACATGTTACAGAACTTCAGTCCTCCACATGTAAACAATTAGCTCAAGCCTTAGAGTTTTCTTTGGTTCCAGTAGCATTCTATGAATTTCAGATGCATGAACATGTTGGGCTTTTTCCCCCCATTACTGTTCATCAGCAATGATGGAAGCAAATCCAGTCTTTCTCTCAGTTTCTGTGGTCTGACATGTGCCATTCATTCCACCACAGCTCTTTGACTTGGGAGTCAAGGACGGTCTGTCCTCCAAGTGCAACCTAGGCCTGGGATTGCTTTCAGGATTAGATTTTTCTCATTAGACTTCTTAATGGCCATTTCCAGCTTTTTATAAGTTTCTGAAAAGTACAGCTCAATGCTGCAAAGCTCAGCAAAAAATATAATGAATTAGTCCATGATTCATCTCCTTGAATCCTTTTGTCCTTTCACAGTCCCTGAAGTTGACTGGACTGAACATGCACACAGTTGTCAGGACAGGCAGTTCTCTTACAAGCTGAAGGATTGCAAGCTGGTGGCGTCACGAAGACTTTTTAGTACAGATGAACAATGATGTTACATATTCAGGGTTTGATATGTGCATATTTTCCTATTCTTTTGTTTAGGACCTCATCTGAAGCAACATCATCCACATCACTACAAGCCACCCCCAGAGAAATATTAGACTGTTTCAGAAGATTATACAAATAATTGAGAGAAAAACTGAGCTCCCAAATGGAGGCTAGGAAAAGACACATCTGGAGGAGCAACGAACCCAGTTTTCCAGTGGAAGTTACCATCCCGTACGTTCTGTATCTACTTCTCTGTAGTTTAGCCATGACAAACTGTATTTGCACCAAGGCCAGGATGAAACATACAGCGAGTATTGTTTCAGTACCACCGCTATTCAACAAACTGAAGATCACATCCAGCTCAACACCTGTGAGAAAAGCAAAAGTGTGTTCATTATAATGTTTTTGTATTTCTGTGTTTAAAGTAGATTGAAACGGTGCAGTGTTTGCAGCTTTTTCTCTTAGTGACTTCAATGTTAATATTTGCAAGGTTATCCTGTGATGTATACATACTTTTGAACACTGGAGGCCATGTTCTCATCAGCGTGTTTAAATGATCTATTTTACTTAAAGCTCTGCCTGTCACCAGTTTTTGCTATTAAGGAAGATCTCCACGTGTCTGAAATAAGGACATAAATAAAATAAATACCAGTAGCAGAAACCCTAAAATAGTCAGTATTTAATAATTGCAGTATCACCACAGAGGAGAATGATGATACATTTGTATCAACCATCTGTTCTGAAATGGTAATATTTTAGCATGTAGATCTTCTATTAACGTAGTTAACAGCTAAAAAATCTCCAGGGTAGATGTACCATTGTAAAGAAATAAATGGCAATTAATGGAATTGTTGAAAATCTATGGCAATTAATACAATTAATTGATAGGGCCTGGAAGAATTACTTTTAAAATCCCACTTATAATTTTCTGGTATATATTATTTCAAGGTATAAAAAATCTGGATAGTTAACATGAATATTTTAGAAATTGAAATTCTGAGGCACATTTATTATTCAAGTAGCCATAGAGCTACTTTTTGGCTTTGCCTTTTGATGCACGTATCTCTTTTCCCCATTGATTGAACAGAAGGATGGATATATTGGCTTCATGCTATTCTGCTTACAGAAAGAATTGTGTGACAATATTCTGGCATCTGGAAAACATTGGCTTACAGTTTATTTGAATGCATTTTTCAAATTCAGACAGAAGGGTGCCCTTTTTAACCATAAGGGAATTCATATTGCCTTATTGTGCAATATAAACTGTCTAGAATTATTTGCCACACAGAGAGACATCCTCTGATAGTAAACAGAAACTGCTTGGATTTATTATCAAGAGGGTGGAAAGTATCTGCCAATAAACGTCCATACAAATACTCATAATCAGCTTCTCATGTTTAAGATGTTCAAAGTGGTCCTGCATTCTTTGGCACAGTTTCCATTGCTCCCTGAGCCATCATATGATGAGGATAAAGGATAAAGGAGCTCAAATGCTTAGTAGTCAAACCTGACAAGGTAGCCACTTTTTCTACCAGCAGATGCTACAGACTCACCTGTACTTCATATTTGCCTGAGATATTCAGTGAGAGAAGTTCAGACACTAGTGGTAACTGTATTTTCCTTCTCTTGATGACAAACTGTCTTGTGGAAAATAAATATGGAGAAAAGAAATACATACTTGAAACTGAGGACCAGAGTTATGTTTATTGTAGTAGAGCATTCACAAAATATTAAAGTACAGTTTGTCTATACTGAAGTTTATAGCATTTTGTTTCATGTGAGTTGATACCATGACGGATGAAGGAAACGGAATTAATTTCTGATCACTTGCTTATTGTAGGTTTCCTACATTTCTACCTTTGATTTTAAAGGGCTCTTTTTTGCCATTCTCTTTCTACTTTGCTTGTTGTCTTTTTTGATATGCACTCAATGACCAAGAACTTCTCCAGAAAAATTTCCATTGCTCCATGGTTTGGGCCTTTAACAGTAGTTTTAAAAATATTAAAGGCTATGGTGCTTTTAATTCCTACCTCTATCATTCCGTCATCTCCCCTTTTCCAAAATACATTAGCAAATAAACAGATGAACCTTATTGATAAAACCAGTATAAAGGTTTATTTTTAATTTTGGTGGAGGACCAGAGTCTCAGACTTTTGTCGGCATGGAAATGTTTCATGTGTAAAAATCTTTACCAAGAAAACAACCAGAATCAGAACGGTGTGCAGCACTGCTTCAACATTTAGATTGCACAGAGCATCGGTAAGGCTAGAAGGGGTCTCCGTGGTGTTTGCTGGGAGCAGGAGTCAGTGGGATCAGGGAAAGTAATTACCTCAGGCTTCTCTGAAAACTTCTGTCCAAACCTTTCAATCACAGTCTATTCTAGTTATGCTGGAGCAAATCTGTAGTGACTTGATTAATGTTAATGAAATTATGTTTCATTTATAGTGACATGGTAAAGCATAGAACATGGATGTCGGTCTTTATTACAATGATGCCAAACCTGGCTTGGAGATAAACTGGAAGTTAGGAGCCTTGAGTGATTGATACCCTTAGTCGTGGTTCCTGGGGGGAAGCTTCATTGTTCTGATATGAATCAAAATGGTTACTCTTTGCTGATGCCAGTCTCTTTGAAGCATTCAACTTTTAAAAGTAGCAATGTACTTTTGAAGAAGATGGAGGGGTTTTCCCTTTAAAAGTAGATTCGGGGGTGGGGGTGGGGGAAGTTGATATAGTAGAATTGTATTGAGCAGGTGTATTTATATAGAGTCCACTAAGATGCAAATTATTTTTTTCCTTCTACAAATCAGCTTATCAACTCACCTTTCGAGTCACCCTCCAAATCAAAAAATGAAAAATACAAGGTCAGCAAAGCACATGCATGGATGTTAAATTCCCAACTATGAGTCATGTCCTGATTATTCTTTGAATTTAGCAGTACAGATTTGAAGCTGTTAGTGCCTAATTCATAAAGCCTTGTTTGCTGAATTGTACAGGGTATTGTCCTAATTTACTAGCCTAAATCACGTTAAACATTTAATTCAGTAATAGAGTTGTTATTCATTACTTGATTCATTAGTTAAAGATTTATTTTCTCTAATGATGTTGTGTAATACAGAGTTAATATAGATATTGAGATGTTTTTAGATATTCTGCACCTTTACACTAATGTGTTATTTGCTATGTACGATTCTGATGTATTTGTCAGTTGACTTCAGGATGCGTTTTGTTTATTTCTTAAAGAATTATCAGATTATGCCATTTTTCCTAACTGCTTTGTGAAGTGGATTTTTTTTTGTTGTTCATCGGTGATTTTTGTTTAAGAAGAGAATGGTTTGTTCTTGTTATATCTTTTTGACCGTTTTTTGAATTGTTTATAGAGCAGGAGAAATTCAAATAAGACAGAGCTTGTGAGGTACCACTATGTGTATCATTTTGAATATTCATTAAGAATATAGCACACAGACAATTAATAAGAGGTCTGACTTCTGAAATGCTGAACATCTTCAACTTAGTGGCTTCAGAAGGAGCTGAGGACATGGTGTGGCAATGCTAACATTGACATTAATATTTGGCACGGTCACACACAAAATCAAATAAATACTCGTTGCTAATGTTAATGGGAGTTTTACCTCTGACATTAGCAGAACTGTATAGAAACCTAAATGCTGAGTCAATTTATTCCACAATATTTTCATCTCCATGCCCTCATCTGGAGTCAGGGAGAGTTTCAGATAAACGGGCCCTGATTTAGGGCAGTATGTAGAAGAGTCAGTGGGATGGAAGTAAACCTTTGCAGTTCGGAATGAGCTTTAGTGATGTCTCTAATAAAGCATGGATGTCAAAATTTGCTTGAATACTGTCTTAAATCAGGGCCTTATAGAACAAAGTATGGGACCCAGACAGTTCTAAATTCTGTGTACAACACCATAAAAATTTATTTTTCGTCTTGTGTATATGTAAATGTAGTTGTGATATTGACTTATTTATTAATTCATTTTCTTATACTATGTGCCAAGTATATTCTTACCCTTTTGATCAGTACCTGTGAACATCAGTTACTAAAAATAATGTTATGCAAACTTGTGCATTGTAACCAGGAATATGATGCTAATAAGCTGTTGCATGTAGTTTTAAATAATTAAGAAACCCCTTTATTTAAAAAATGTAAATGAATACCTACAAATGTTGATGATTATATGTGGTTTTGCATGCCAAAACTCATTGTTCAGTTGTGGGCATGAAATGTAATGACTGTATTACCTCTACTGAATATATTAGTAAGGTACAATTTACAAAGTAATTAACAGAGCTCTATATGTAAAATTTTTCCTTTTTACTTAATTATATTGTAGTACAGGTAACAGAACTGCTTCTCTGTTACCCAAATTGGCTGTAGAAATTATGTTCCTATAACACTCATTTAAAGTCAATATTTATTTATATATGTAATACAAAAAGATTGGTCTTATGTGTCTGTCCTGTTATTTAGAGAAAAAAAAATACACTTCTTGTAAAAATAATCTGTAAAAAAATGTAAATGTAAATAGAGTCTGATTTCTTTTACTCATTATTTTCATGTTTAGAATGTGTACATACTGTTTAGGTAATAAACTATCCTACATCAAAATCTTGCTACATTATCTCCTCCATACAGAATTTATGGTTTTGTTTTTCTTAAGTTGAAGACACAGAGTCATGTAGGAAAAATCAGTGCCACGCCAAGTACCTTTGATACATCTATATTTCATTGTGTATAAAGTCATACCATTTTATCTTCTGTTTACTACAGCATTCTGTTTTCTTCAGAAAATGATTGAAATAATCTGAAAATAAATTTAGATATCATTTGAGTCTTTTGTGTGGAAAAGCAATCCTTGAAGTAAAAAAATTAGACTCAAGAACTTCCCATCCCTTTCTCTGTTGTAATTGAATAATTCAGAGTGGAGATTTGTTCACCCTTTGTAATACTAACTTAAAATAATTAAAATGTTGCTGGATCTATGTCAGTGGCCTGATCCTGCAAGTGAAGATTTTCATCACTGAAAATCATGATGAAATCTATGTATACACCAGATTTGGAGTATTTTCTATTTTAAAGTGCCATATCCCATGCTTTAAATTCTATATTTTTATTAAATATAAATATCTGTCTTAGTACAAACATTTAACTGTTTCAAATTGTCATAGATGTGCTATCATTCTCAGATGCAATATCTTTAGTTTGGGGATGCGTCTTTGATTTACTCTTGACTTACCTAATAAACACTTAGATTTTGTTAATTTGAACAAAAATTCCAAAATTTCCTGGTATTGCTTTGTCATTGGAAT